ATCTTCGCGATTGTTTGAGGATGTCCCGAGCGAAACGGCCGTTCTTGGAGGATTTGTTCCGGTCGTGGAGCACGTTTGGGGATTTTCCGGGTGGCCGGCGGGTTCTGCCGGAGCCCACTGGGGAGTTCTTTTGGAAAAAGAACCAAAACCAAAACCAGCTCATCCAGCACGCCGTGCACCCCTGCAAGCAGGGGGCGGCGGACTGCTGGCCTTCGGCCCATCCCGCCACCGTGCCTGGTTTGAGGGTATGAGGCTTACGGGATTTCGTTGGGGTGTCTTGGGAGGCTTTTCGGGGGCTTCTTTGAGGCAGCGTCAAAGACTTTCGGGGGCCGTTTGTGGAGGCCTCTTGGGGGCTGTTTTGGGGCCTCTTGGGGGTGGGTGGGGCGTCTTTGGGTTGTTTGGGGGCTTCTTGGGGCCTCTGGGGAGCTTCTTGGGGCGTCCTGGGTGCCTCCAGGGGCGGAGGGCTCGGATTTTCGGTTCGGGCTCTCCTTTTTGAGCCTCTCCTGGGGCCGTCTTGAGGCTCTCTTGGGCCGTCCTGGGAGCCTCTTGGGCCGTCCTGTGGCTCTCCTTGGCCGTCCTCGGGGCCTCCTGGGCCGTCTTGGCGGGGTCTTTGGGGGTTTCTTGGGCCGTCTTCAACGCCGTGAGGGCCGACAAGTCGTATGTGCTCAAAATGTATTATTTCCCATATGAATTTGACGAGTTTGGCCTCTTGGGGCTCTTTTCGGAGTGCTCTTGGAGGCGTCATGGGGCGTTTTGGGTGCCTCTTGGGCCGTCCTGCGGCCGTCTTGGGCACCTTGGAGCGATCTTTGGGCGTCGCGAGGTCTTCTTGGACCGCCTTGGGGATTTCTTCGAGCTCTTTTGGCCCGTTTCGGAGATTTCTGGGTTTCGGACAAGCCACGCGAGAAACCCCAGGAGCGCCCAAGAACGCCCGGGCGCCCAGGAGCGCCCGGGAAACCTGGGTTCCGACCCCTTAGGTATTTATTTAAAATCCCGGCTGCAGCACCGCAGCTGCGTGAGCCTTGGGGCATTCCAGTTCGCGCCAAGGGCACGGTGGCAGATTACTGTTACTACAGCAACAACAACAACGACAACAACAAGTACTACTACTACTACTACTACTACTACTACTACTACTACTACTACTACTACTACTACTACTACTACTACTACTACTATACCACTACTACTACTACTACTACTACACTACTACCACCACCACCACGACTACTACTACTACTACTACTACTACTACTACTACTACTACTACTACTACTACTACTACTACTACTACTACTACTACTACTACTACTACTACTACTACTACTACTACTACTACTACTACTACTACTACTACTACTACTACTACTACTACTACTACTACTACTACTACTACTACTACTACTACTACTTCTACAACTATAACTACAACATCAACAACTACTACCACTACTTACACTACTACTGTTACTGCTACTGCTACTGCTACTGCTACTACTACTACTACTACTACTACTACTACTACTACTACTACTACTATTATTACTACTATTACCACAACTATTACTCATATTGCAGTTGCTGCTACTACTACTGCTACAGGTACTACAGCTACTACTATTACAACAACTACTACTACTACGACTACTACCGCTACCGCTACTGCTACTGCTACTGCCACTGCTAATGCCACTGCCACTACCACGATTACTACTACTACTACTACTACTACTACTACTACTACACCTACTACTACTACTATTACTACTATTACTACTACTACTACTACTACTACAACAACTACTACTACTACAACTACTACTACTACTAGTACTACTGAAAACTACTCGGATTACTAGTACTACTAGTACTACTATTACTACTATTGATACCAGTACTACTACTATTTTGGTTACTACTGCTACTACTGCTACTTCAATTCCTCTACGACGAACACTACGACAACAACAACATTACTACTACTACTACTACTACTACTACTACTACTACTACTACTACTACTACTACTACTACTACTACTACTACTACTACTACTACTACTACTACTACTACTACTACTACTACTACTACTACTACTACTACTACTACTACTACTACTACTACTACTACTACTACTACTACTACTACTCATATTACTATTGTTACTCTTACTTGGACTACTACTACCGTTACCACTACTACTAGTGCTACAGCCGCAACAACAATATCACCAACTGCTGCTACTACAACTACTCATCCTTCCTCCCCCTCCTCCCCCTCCCTTCTCCTCCTCCCCCTCCCTATCTCTCTCATCTCCCCCTCCTCTTCCTCTTCCTCTCCCTCTGAGATGCGGGGCATGCGCAAGGCGATTGCGAAGGCGATGTGCCGTCCGAGCTATGGATGTTGAGTTCCTCGGAAGAGGTGGTGGCCAAACCTTCTTGGGCGGGATATCTGGGTGAGGGAATATCGGATCCCGCATGCCAGAAAAATCCCCCATGATGGGGTGTGTTATCCAGATGGATGCATGTGTCATGTGGAAGCATGGCGCATGAGGGTAAAATGATTGTTGTTGTTGTTGTTGTTGCTGTTGCTGTTGTTGTGTTGTTGTTTGTTTGTCGGTCGTCCCCCCCGAACCCGCCCCGCGACCCACCCGCGACCCAACCCGCGCCCACCCCGCGACCACCCGCGTCCCCACCTGCGACCCACCCCGCGACCCACCCCGCGACCCACCCTGCGACCCACCCCGCGACCCACCCCGCGACCCACCCCGCGACCCGCCCGCGGCCCACCCCGCGACCCACCCGCGACCCACCCGCGACCCACCCGCGACCCACCCGCGACCTACCCAGCGACCCACCCGCGACCCACCCTCGACCCAAACCAAGTTCAAGGTACAAACCACCATTTTCGGCGCCTGCGGCAGGTTTTTTTTGCATCCTTTCCAAGTGGAGAGCCCGCGACCCACCCCGTGACCAACTCGCGACCAACCCGCGACCCAAACCACGTTCAGGGTACAAACTACAATTGTCGGCGCTTGCGGCGGGCATCTTCTGCATTCGTTTCAGGTGGAGAGCCCGCGGCCCACCCGCGACCACACTCAGGGTACAAACCACATTTTTCGGCGCCTGCGGCGGGCATCTTTTGCATTCGCTCCCGGTGGGGATCCCGCGGCGCACCCGCGACCCAAACCACGTTCAGGGTACAAACCAATTGTTTTGGCGCCTGCGGCGGGCTGCTTTTGCATTCCTTCCAGGTGGAGGTGGGGAGCCCGCGACCCACCCGCGACCTAAACCACGTTCACTGAACAAACCAATGCCGCACAAGCGCGGCGGCGGATTTTTGCATGCCGTCTGAGCCCGCAAGGACCTCTCTCTTCAAGCCCCGCGCATCCACACCAGCCCGTCCAGCAACTTTGCCCTGGCGAGTTGCCTTGATCAGAGAAGGCGGGGAGCATAAAGTGGACAAAAAGGATTGCGTTGCAGCTATATTGGGAAAAGGAGGGGGAGGCAGGAGGAGTAAACAGGGGACGACGAGAACGCGGAAGAAAGGAGGATGTACGGATAATGTGGAGAAAGAAGAGGAGGAGGAGCAGGAGGACGAGGAGGGGGAGGAGGGGGAGGAGGGGGAGGAGGACGAGGAGGGGGAGGAGGGGAAGAATGATGATGATGGACGACAATGGGAGATGCCATGAAATGGAGTGCGCTGAGGGGGAGGACACAACTGGAGGACATGATGAAAGTAGAGGGGAGAGACGGGGGACGAGGAAGAAAGAGATTAGGACGAGGTGGAAGGAGGAGATGACGGTGAGATGAGGACTGAGGACGAGAAGAGGGAGGAGGAGGAACGAGGAGGAGGAGAAGGAGGAGGAGGAGAGGATGAGGACGCGCCATCGACAGGAAGTGGTGGGACGAGGTCCGCCGGCTCGACGACGCCCGCGTTGCCCGCGCCCGCCCCCTCACTCTGATCCGCAATTGCGGGGTGCTACGTATCGGATACAATGTGTTTGCGCACGGGGAATCCGAATTCCCTTTCGGCCTAGCTTTTAAGTCTGAACGCTCTTGGTCGTCGTTCAGAATGGCACTCTCACTCCAGCGCGGGCCGCATCCTGACTCCAATTCCTCCCTTGCCGTTGCCGCACCCGCCCTTGCCCTCCGCCTTCTCCTGGTCCTCCCGCTCCCCCCCCCTCATCCTGCTCCTGCTTCTGCTGCTGCTGCTCCTCATCCTCCTTCCTCGTCCTGCTACTCATGATTCCTGATTCGTGGTGGCTGAAGAGATCCACGATCGCAGCATCCCCCCCAGGGGCCCTGCTCCTCGTCCTCCTCCTCCTCCTCCTCCTCCTCCTCCTCCTGCTCATTCTCCTCCTCATCGTCCATACTTCCTGACTCAAATCCAGCACTGAGGCACCAAAGGCATGCTCTGAAGTCGCAGGGCGGTAACAGGCAACATATGTGGCTGCAAGCCCTCGTCTCTAAACGAGATCTCTTCGATGCCCCTCGTTGGCCTTCTCAGCCGTGGCGGCCTCGAGGCCAACGATGGACGAGCCAATCATCGCTCCCCCCCAAGGCGCATGACTCGACTCTTGGGGAGAGGCTCCGAGCAGCACGCTGCTCTAGACGGAGCTGCGAGGCACGCGGGGTGATCATCGCAGCCAGAGGCTGCGGCGAGGGATCCCTCCTCCTCCTCCTCCTCCTCCTCCTCCTTTCCTCCTCCTACTCCACCTCGCTCCTCCTCCTCCTCCTCCTTGTCCTCCTCCCCTCCTCCTCCTCCTCCTGCTCCTCCTCCTCCTCCTCCTCCTCCTCCTCCTCCTCCCACTCCAGCCGTCTGGGACGATCCGGGCAGCCCCGAGGCGCAGCTGCTGGAGAGCACCCCGAGGCTGGGAAACCGACGAGAGACGACGAAAGCGTCCGCAAGCCTCCACCTTCGAATCGCCGAGAACTCTTCTCTCTCGCAAGCCTCCTCGCCCCCCGCCCCTCTCGCCGCCGCACAGGGCCCCCGCGGCGCTCCGAGAAGGCGGACGCCGGGTAGGTGTACACCTCGGGAGCTGGCGCGCACGCGCTCCCGCCGCCGCGAGGGGCAAGCGTGGGCGCCGAGGCCCGCAGGGGCCGCTGCACCGTGAGGTGTCGCGGGACCTCCGACCTCGCTCCGCTCAGGCAGCCGCGCGCGAGCCCTGCCCCTGCGAGTCAGACTTCTCCTCATCCCGGCACTGCACCCCCGTGTTTGAGTGTCGTTGATCCGACCCCCATCCCCAGCGGCGTGGCCTGGGCCCCACTTGCCGATTTACCCCCCTGGATGGGGATATAGGCCGTGCCCTTCGGGCTTCGAGGGGTGTATCCCCAACTGGGGGGGTAATTTGGTGGGGGTCTCGAAGGGGATGGGGAGGGGGATCGAGATCGGAGAAGCGATACCGAATATAGACAGCAGCAGAAGCGAGAGGGCTCTGGTCGAGGAGCGGGAGGCAGGCCGGTGAAGACGTGCCGGGACGAGGGTGGAGAGCACGGCCACGAGCGCCGGAGTGCTTGGTTTTACCAGATGCGTGGCCGGGGCCGTCCGGGCCGAGGTGTGGCTGGCAGGGAGGCGAGAACACGATGTCGGCATATGTCGTGGGGGAAGTCTAAGGCGAAACGGCTGCTGGGCTGGGCGATCTATAGATTTCGGGGGGGGGTCTCGGGCTCCCCGTCCTCCCCTTTGGGGCTCTGCTATGCTCCTCGTGGCCACCAGCAGGACCCTCCAGCGAAGCGCTATTAGAGACAGAAGCTGGATGTGGTCCAGAGCTCGAAGGATGCCTGCAGCCACTCGAACCCCAGGACCCCAGCGAGGATGTCTGATACCGCAGCGTCCATGGGATCCGCAGGGTATAGGGTTCGCAAGCGGTCGCAAATCCACTCTCATCGGGCTCGTCGGGATCCGTGGATCTGGCGCGTGGGCGCCAAATCTACGGATCGGGAAAGGTACCCCCCCGAAACGTGGCGCCAATATCGCACGATTTGGCGACGGCGCGCGCTGGCTTCGCATGGCAACGGGACGCATCGCCAATCCGCGCGACTCAGTCCAGGTGCACGCTCCTCTGACACTCTCGACTTCCCGCCTGGGGTGCCGCTGGCTCCCTGGCCAGGGATCGACTGACCCGGGTCCATCCAGGCCCGGGTCGGCAAGACAGTGCAGTGTCCCGCAAGAGCCTAGCAGGATCCTGCAGCCAAAAGCCCGGGCCAATGCGACCCTGGCCCTGCAGGGCCCTGCAAGGTTCGGCGCTCTGACCCAGCCTGCGACTGCCCTGACCCCCGCCTCGAGGCCCTCGAGTGCCCTGCCCGGGGGGCGCTCTGGCTTCACATCGGCGCTGCGAGGAGGCGCAGAGCTCGTGCCACCCTGAGCGACTGCGGCCCTCCGACCGCACAAACAGCGCTCGACATCCGCGCCACCAGCGCCGCTCAGCCTCGGACACCCGTGCCAGGCACGCCGCCGCGTCCATCCGACACGATCATGCCGTCTGCATTGACAGCACCAGGGAGCCCACCAAGGACGCACGCGCCCAACCACGTGCACCAATACGGCCCGCCGGTCCGCGAGACCAGCCTCGTGATAAGGACGTGCGCGGAATGCATGCTGTCGAAATCAACGTGGGCGCACGCACGTGCACATCCTGCTTTCGCTTCTGAGACGCAGGGGTGGGAGCTCCAACGCGGTCAGGCAGCCCGAGGGCGGAGGTAGGAGTCAGAGGAGGAAAAGACACCGACGCCGCGTCGTGACGGCTGGAGTCGCTTCGAAATCCTGGTCCGAAGGCCCCAGGGGGGGTCTGGGGAGCATCGCTATCGGCACCAGGTGTTTTCCCCAAGGGAGAGGTACGATCCCGAGACGCCCCCCTCGCGACTGCGTCGGAGGCGCTCAGCCTCAAACGCCCACGCTGGGTTCGCCGCCGCGCCGACGCAACACGACCCTATCACAGGAGAACGGAGGGCGGAGGCAGGAGGAAGGATCTTCCAAGGCCCCCTGAGACTCTACACTGGAGGGGGGAGGGGGCAGGAGAGGGGGGTGGAGGGCGGGCTCTCCTGCACCCCGTGGGGGAGGACCGACACCAGGACGATGGGATGTCAGAGGCCTGGGCTGCTGCCGAGTGTATTTCTACTGCCTCGATGTGTCAGTCTGGCTGCCGACATGTTGTGGACTCTGCTCCGACGTCCTGGATGACGCATACCAGTCATAAGCGCTCGTAGGAGGGCTGTGATGAATGCGCTTGTGCTGACGTGCCCTCGCTTTGTGCCATCATAATCAAATCAGATCAGAATGCTGGATGGCAAATGGTGACCGCGATGGTCATTTTCCACATTGAGGCGCTGCCTCGCAAATAATTACTCATTTGTGAAGAACCGGTGGGTGGCCGGTTTGTGCAAATATTTCCCCGTTTCCCTTGGTCTTGTTTCCTTGCAAGAGGGTTCCCCCGGGTTCCTTGGTCCTGTTCCCTTGCAAGGCATTGCCCTGGTTCCCTTGGTGTCTCGGCCTTGTTCCTATGGCCGTTTTCTCACACGGCATTGCCCGGGTAAACTCAGTCTTCTTCCCTCCCAGAAGGGTCCCGGGGTTCACGGGTGCTGTTTCCTTACGTGGCGATGCCTAGAGTCCCTTGGATTCTTGGTCGTGGTTCCTTGTTCCTTGGCTCCTCGGTCTTGCTTGCTTGGCTCCTTGGTCTTCGCTCCTCGCTTCCTTGGCCTTGGTGTCTTGGAGTGAATGAGGCTTGGTTCGATACTTGGCCTTGGTTGCTTGGCTCCTTCTGGTGGTCAAGGCTGAAGTAGGTTACGGTTGGAGCATCACAAGACAAGGGTCGGTTGAACGGTGCTGACCTCCTCATCCTCCTCCTCCTCCTTTTCTCCTCCTCCTACTCCTCCTCCTCCTCCTCCTCCCCCTCCTCCTCTTCCTCCCCCTCCTCCCCCTCCTCCTCCTCCCCCTCCTCCCCCTCCACCTCCTCCTCCTCCTCCTCCTCCTCCTCCTCCCCCCCCGGCCCCCGAGGCGCGGGCCAGCAGCCCCACGGGCCAGGCGAAGATCCAGTGGGGGTACCGCCTCCCTGCCCGCCCCGCCCCCGTCGAGGAGGCAGGGCGCCGGGAGGCCCGAGCGCGACCACCGCGAGGGGCAGCAGCAGCGCGAGAGGACGATGCACGACATCAGAACATCCAGGGCCCGCCAAGGACTGGCTTCCTGTCAAAAACGACCGAGGCCCTCCCGAAACCATGCGGAAACCATCCAGGAAGGGTTCCGCAAGGGTTTCTGGAAGGTTTCGGGGGGGTTTGTGAAGGGTTCTGGTCGATTAAGGGGGAAACCAGTCCCTAGCGACCCCTGGACTTACTCATCATAACACATGGGCGGAAGCGAAACACAACAACAACAACAACAACAACAACAACAACAACAACAACAACAACAACAACAACAACACCAACACCAACAACAACAACAACAACAACAACAACACCAACACCAACAACAACAACAACAACAACAATTACTAGCACGTGGGGACACACCGTTCTCACCAGTGCCAGGGTTTTCATAGGAGGCGGGCAATACCGTATACCCCCACTTTGTGGGGGGGCCGGTTCAAGCTCTACCAAATTTCCAAACGACTCTTCGCCACCACCCACACCGAGCTTCCCGCCCTATGACGTTCGGACACTGCACTTCGTGGCATGCGGACGACCGTGGCTACTATTCAGGGCCCCGCGGCCGACGACGACGGCGTGCGCGCGCGAAGAGAAAACGAATGTGTCCCGCATGGTATTATTTGACAGGGATGATGGCCCTGGCAGGTGCGCAACCGTTGTTGCAGAAGTTCGAAAAAGTTGCTCGCAAAAGCTCGTTTGACAGAAATGATTAAAAAGTGTGGGGTTTCCTACGAATCCGCAAGAGCGCGCGGGATGAAATTTTGACATTTTTTTTGAAAAAAACATTGGTTTTTTTTTTTTTTTTGATGTTTTTATGTTAAAATCGCTACGAAAACTAAGGTTTTGGAAGGATTTCGTCTTGCGCGCGCGAATGTCCACTTTACCTTATTTTTAACAAGGGATTCTTGAAGTTTGGTTATGTTAGAACAAGAAATGTCCACTTTAGCTTATTTTTTTGCAAGGGAAAACCGATCGTAACAACACAACCGGATCCGGATGACCCGTTTTGCCTGAGACTTCCTCACGAAAATGATGAAAATGAGGCTGCGGCCTAGGCGCGGCGGGGGGGCCATGCACCAGGGGTCCCAACAATAATTATTCTTAAGAAGAAATAATGTTCAACAACAACAAACAATTACTAGCACGTGGGGACACACCGCATCCACCAAACAAAGCAAAAAATAAGAGAAAAAATAAAACCAACAACAAAAATTTTGCCCGGTATTTCATAGGAGGCGGGCAATACCCCCACTTTGTGGGGGGGCCGGTTCAAGCTCTACGAAATTTCCAAACGACTCTTCGCCACCACCCACACCCAGCTTCCCCCCCTATGACGTTCGGACACTTCACTTCGTGGCATGCGGACGACCGTGGCTACTATTCAGGGCCCCGCGGCCGACGACGACGGCGTGCGCGCGCGAAGAAAAAACGAATGTGTCCCGCATGGTATTATTTGACATGGATGATGGCCCTGGCAGGTGCGCAACCGTTGTTGCAGAAGTTCGAAAAAGTTGCTCGCAAAAGCCCGTTTGACAGAAATGTTTAAAAAGTCTTGGGTTTCCTACGAATCCGCAAGAGCGCGCGGGATGAAATGTTGACATTTAAAAAAAAAAAAAAAACCATTGTTTTTTTGATGTTTTTATGTTAAAATCGCTACGAAAACTAAGGTTTTGGAAGGATTTCGTCTTGCGCGCGCGAATGTCCACTGTACTTTATTTTTTGCAATGGATTCTTGAAATGTGGTTATGTTAGAAGAAGAAATTTCATTTTATATTGTTTTTTGCAAGGGAAAGCGGGGGGGAACAAAACAACCGGATCCGGACCAACCCGTTTTGCCTGAGACTTCCTCACGAAAATGATGAAAATGTGGCTGCGGCCTAGGCGCGGCGAGGGGGCCGCGCACCAGGGGCCCCAACAATAATTATTCTTTAGAAGTAATAATGTTCAACAACAACAACAACAACAACAACAACAACACCAACAGCAACAGCAACAACAACAACACCACCAACAACAACAACAACAACAACATGATCATTTTGCGGGCGATCTGCTCTGGTTCCAAACGTGTGACGACAGTTTCAAACAACAGAAGGGAATCAGACACGTAAGTACAACGAATCTCGCTGTTTCAGCAAGTTCGCTGCAAAACTACAACATGTTCGTCCAGGGCTGTTTTTTTTCTGAACATCATCTCGAGCGCCCCTGCGTACACGCGACCCGGGTGATTTCTGAATCCTCCTGCATTCGAGGGGCGGGGCCGGCTCAGAGGGGGGGAGGGGAACGTTGATAGATCGCTCAGGGGGGGCCCGCTCGAGGCTCGGCGATACATCGCCGATAGATCGCCAGCCCCCGAAAGCACATGGCAAATTCCTGGGAGGAGCGGGCTCTCGGAACCCCATCGGGCTCTCGGGAAGGGGGAAAGTGCGTCTCCCCCTGAGCCTAGACTTAGATCGGGCATCTCCTCCTACAGGCGGAGTTTGAAAGGAACATGTGACAGATTCAAACATATGCAAGAGTTGTAGGAACATCGTCCCCATATCATGTTCGGAATATTCTTAAATTTTAGCCCTGTAGAGGGACAGGGGAGGGAGCAGGGACTGAGGTGGAAGCAGGAATTGGAGGGGTAGGACGAGGTGGAAGGGGAGGAGGGATCCTGCGGGCGAAGAACGGTATATAATAAAAAAACAACTTGACCGTCGCGGGGAGCGCTACCCCAGGGCGGCTGGACAGTTTATACATTGACTTGGCGGCGCCGAGAAGCCAAGATCTCCTCCAGGGGGGGGGCAGGGCCCGCGCCGATCGGCAAAACAATGCATACGAAGACGATCACATCCGCGTCTCCTTGGCGGCGCGCACAAGGGGGTGGGGGGAGGGGGGAGGGCTTCTGAGGAGGCTGCTTCTCAGAAGGCGCCGGCCTTTCATCTATAAATAAGGCCCGCGCTTTCTAAGAAGCAGGAGTGCTTCTAAGAAACCCTCCCTCCTCACCCCCCCCCCTCTACGCGCGGCTGGTTGACGTGCCACCATAAGGGTATAAACTTTCCAGCCGCCCTGGGGCAGGCGCCCCCGACAGCAAACAAGCTTATGTTATACCGTCCTTCGCACGTCCTGAGGGTGGGGGGGGCATGGCTTGGCAGGCGGAATGGGAACCCAAGGCGAGAGGAGGAGCAAGAGGAAGATGAACAACAACAGGAGGAGGATGAGGCCTTCCCACCGCCGGGCACTCCCCCCACTCAAAACAATGCCGGCCGCAGAGCGACGCCCGGGCAGCGTCGGGGTTATGTCCCAGTCCTTCCTCTCCATGTGTCTCCTGCTCGTCCTCACCTTCCCCCTGCACACTCTTCGCATTTCTCAGCGTCACCACAGGCTGCATCATCATGTTAGCAATCTTCATATCACTGTGGCTAGCTAAATTCTTACTCATGAAGAATAGCTATTGTTGATTCCCCCCTCAGGTGCACCCAGTTTTTCAATCTCAGTGCCCCTCCCAGGGCTCGCACCCTTTTGTTCAAAAAGGGAAATCTTGCTCCTCATGTTAGGACCCTGAACCCTGAGCTACAACAACAAAGGTTCCCGCCAAATACTTCACACTTTGAGGAGGATCGAGCTCCCGCGCGGGACGTCCTTACAATTTATCAAAGAATCGCGCTCTCGCGTGGGGCTTCGCAAGTTATTGAAACGCCGCGCCCCCGACAAAAGAATTGCTGCCTCATTTCCAATCAGACATGTTTTGCAATACGGGCTCAAAACTCATTTTCCGGTCAAAACATTTCTTTCCGTGATGGGCCTGTTTTCCATCACCACCCACCACCATAAGTTGGAGGGGGAACGGGGTCCTCCTCTTCTTCCACCTCCTCTTCCTCCTTCTCTTCTTCGTCCTGTTCCTCCTCGTCCTCCACCTCCTTCCCCCCTCCATCTTATGGTGGTGGTGGTGGTGGAAAACAGGCCCATCATTCCGGACTGAGCAGATCTGTGTGAGCGGATCCGTGTGATCGGTGTGCCAAAACTGGCCTGTGGACGCCTGCTCACCCGCCAGCCGGGCAGCCAACCAGCCAGCCAACCAGCCAGCCAGCCCCTCCCTTCCCAGCCAACCACCCCTTTGGAGGATGTCCTCTACGGCTGGGCCCAGACCAGTGCTTCGACCGCGGGGCGGGGGAAAGGGAGGAGCGTGACGGAATGGCATGGACAGGACTGGAGCGGAACGGGACGCAGGGAGGAGCGGATGGCCCTGGCATGGCATGAAACAAGGGATGGGATGGATGGGAGGCGCGAGCGGAGGGGCGAGCGGGCGGGCCAGAGAGCGGGCGGGCGTGCAGGCGTGCGTGCGGGCGCGCTGTGCGTTGCGTTGCGTTGCGCTGCACTGCGTTGCACTGCGCTGCGTTGCATTTCCATGTTGCGCCGCCTGCGTTGCACTGTACTGCATCGAGTTGCGTTGCATTGCGTTGTTTTGCATTGCGTTGCGTTGCGTTGCCTTGGGTTACATTGCATTGTATCATCTTTCGTTGCATTGCTTTGCGCTATGTTGCATGTGCACTGGCTTTGCAGCACACTGCATTGCATTAAATTGCGGCGGGAGAAGGGGAGGGAGAGAGTGGCGCAGGGAGAAGGGGGAGGAGGGGAGGGGAAGGAGGGGAAGGAGGGGGTAGTACATTGATTGCTTTGCAGTAAACGAGGAGGGGGAGGGGGAAGGAGGAGAGGGGGGGGAGGAGGGAAGAAGGGGGAGGGAGAAGAGAGGATGGAGGAGGGAGGAGGGAGGGAAAAGGACGAAGAGAAGAATAGGATAGTATGTTTTTTCGCCTCCCTGGCCCTCGTCATCGTCAGGGTATACTATTGTTCGGCCCCGACAGCGCTACCACGAGACGCGTTGCATTGCTCTGCGCTGCATTGCGTTGCGTTGCGTTG